GCTCAGGTCATGATCTCACAATTCACAAGTTCAAGCCCCACATCGGGCTCCATGCTGAACTCAGAGTCTGCTTGGGATTCTCCCTCTCCTTATCTCTGCCCCTCCCCTGCTCATGCACGCTCTCTCAAAATAAATAAGTAAACTTTAAAAAATAAATAAAAATAAAAAGCAATCTGTATTTATTGCCTTCTATCTCAACCCACTATGTAACCTGGTTTCCAATCTTACTCCACTAGAGCTGCTACGGTCAACGCACCAATGATTTCTATGTTGCTAAAAACCAATGGATATATTTCAGAAGTCTTATCTCACTGAACCCATCCATAATATTTTCCACTGCTCATCACTTTGGTTATTGGCAGTCACTCTTCTTGGGGATTCCATAACACCAGTCTCCCAGACAGTTTCCTTTTTATCTGTCTGGCTCTTCCTCCCGCTGGTCTCTGTGGATTCCCTGATCCAGTATCCCTGCTGGGAACCATTCATTTCCTTAAGTATGGAGAACCTCTATATATCATGCAGCGGATTTTTCCTTTTTCTTTTACTTAAGTCTTTGAAAAGAAGTTCTTAGAGGCATCTGGAATATATACTATGCTTCTCAAAATATAAATTAATTTACCTGATTAATGATTTATAATAATTATACTTTCAGAAAAATACCATAAGTATGCTTTGGTAGGCGAATCAAACTATGCTTAGATAGGGCCCTATCTATCTGACTGGATTAACAAACAAAATAACATCTGAGTTAAAACAGCTGGTAATTTGTAGTTTTGGGCACCATGATTTAGAATCCACCATGCCCATGTTTTAGGAGGCATGGCTCTAGATGAGAAGAGTTTAGGTAAGAATATTGCAAATCTGCTAGATAATGCATGTAACAATTTATATCAGGGTGTGGTAGGAAAGGAGTGCTAAAAACACTATAAACTAATCTTTGCAATGAAGCTTTAAAAGCTAATTCATTCAGGGGCACCTGGGTGGCTCAGTCAGTTAAGCATCCAACCCCCGATTTTAGTTCAGGTCATGACCTCATGAACCTCAAGCCCCACATTGGGATTCTCCCTCTCCTTCTCTCTCTGCCCCTCCTCTGTTAGCACTCTCTTTCTCAAAATAAAAAAATAAATTTATAAAAATAAGTAAAAGGTAATCGTTCAAATGCTAGGCAAGGCAGCCCAAGAAGACAAGCTGTCATTGGCACTGGATTCTGTCTACAGAAGCAAGAACAGTCTCTGGATCCTAGCTCTCTCTACTTTTCTAATGGTATTTAACTAACAAGGTACTCTCGCTCGGAGGGAGCTAGAGCTGCAAGAGGTGAACGCAGGCTCTCCAGTGCCTGGGTCTAGGAGGGGGTGGGAGACAACAGTTCAGACATCTAGTCTATCTTTGACCAAATGCCACATCTCAAGCCCAAAAGGTTTAGATCTCTTTGCAAGTGACGATCCAATGTGACCTGGTTTTGTGATTCTTTTTAAACTGGGAAATTCATATTTTACTGAAGATGTGTAAGGGCAATGGAGAAGGGTGGTTTGCGTCATACATGCTCAGCAGCTCACCTGAAAAATCTGAAGGAAATTTTTTTCTTTGGGAAAGAAAAAAGGTGGGTGTGGCATAAGCTTAGAGAATGTGGATACAGACAAAACGTGAGAGGTCTGGCACCAGTCACTTGAGGGGAAAGGGTGGGAAAACTGAAAGGCCACCGTGACCTGCAAATGCCCTAACATCCCTCCCTGCCGATCACAAAGGCTGGCATCTTCTAAGACACAAAGATCATTTCCAAGAAGCAGGAGTCTGCAGAGCAAGAGTTTGCCTTTTCTTCTCGCCTTTGAAAGAGGGTGGCTGACCGATGGGGACTGCCTTTCTACAAGGGGCATTTCCCTAGCAGCCGTTCTCAGCCTGGGCTCCTTGAGACAATTAAGACTGAATGCTGCAGTAGTTAAGTCACCCTCTCTCCTCCACATCTAGAATAGTTACTAGCTATCTGCCAAGCTTGGGAGAATGCAAAAAGAGTCACTCGAATCATTCTCCATGGGGTTTAATTCTGCTGAAGAACCCTGGCTGGAAGAAAGCATGCTAAGGTACTATCTTATACTGTGATTCAGACATCAGAGAAACACACAGTAGCCAAGCCATTTGTCTGTGGTTTGAGAGGTGATTAGCAACCTGTGCCCTCAGTTGTTCCAGAACACATCATGTCATTTTCTTTTTGGTATCTCCGGGGAAGTGACCTCCAATGTCCACCTTCTCTTCCCCAGCTGCTCAAGATTTCTGATTCCTGTGTCACTATCCAGACTGACCGAATTGACTACATAGTTTTTGCAGGCACAGCTAACTAAACTTCTCTCTGCTCCCATTTTTTATACCCTTCCCCATTTCACTAAAATCATACTTATAAACAATTAAGGCTTCATCCATTCACAGCATTAGCCTGAGAGAATACTCACAAAGCACTAACCGCACGAAGTCTTTTGTTATGTAGTCTTGGAATTCCTCTAACAAATTTATCTAGAAACGACTCTTTACTAATAGAAGCCATCATTGGTAGGAAATGAGGGTGATGAACTATCTTTTTCCCATTCTAATTTTCATTAGAATTATGTCTGCTGATTTGGCAGAAAAATTCTTCTTAAGATTATATGCAAGCATATATGGCTGTAGAAATTCTTTTAGAGCATAAATATCAAAGAAATTCACTGACAACACACCCATTTCAAATGAATCATATACAACGAAAGATGAGCTTGGGTGGAGGGCCGCTTTGCCATGTATTCCATGTTTTTTATGTGTGAGTGAAGAAGAGACTCAGGGTTGTAAAGCAACAGCTCTTGCAATGTGCCACAGGGACTTTTTGTTCATCTGAAAGCTTTCTCTCCTCCATTAAGAATACAGAATGAGCAACGTCCTTCCATTTTCTTCTTGAATTGCCGCTGAGCCCACTCTGCTCTTCAGGGAACATATCAAATTGCTACGACTATCTCTCAGGCACCACTGTAAATGTAGCAAATCTTCACTCACATAAGAGACCTAATGCCCCTAACCAGACAGTCTGCAGGATGGTGCTGGCATCTGAAGTGATATTATTCACCTTCTTTGAAGGAATGACATGATTGATATCCTCTTCTGCATAACAGCAAAGTAGCCCTTGAACACGAACAGGCAAGGAACACGAGAAGCAGGATGCCACCCGTGACCAACAGACAGATGAAATGCCACGTCATGCACACACTTACTTGCCAGAGCCTTTTTTCCAGCTGCATGGTAGGCTACAATATATTTCTTCCCCTCTCTATCCTCTGTTTTTGTCTCTAATCCTGGAAACAGAGATTTAATCGCTTGATGGATGATGGTTCTTTTCTCTTTGGTGTCCTCAATAACCTATTAAAAACAAATCATGCTACTACTGATTGAAGAAACATTAAATGGGGAAAAAACACTAATGAAGTAGTAAAATCACTAGTCAGGTTATCAGCTATGCAAAGTAACAGAGGTACATGGGTATGATTTCAACAATCCTTTTTTTTAAAATTATTTTTTAACATTTATTTATTTTTGAGAGATACACACAGAGTGCAAGGTGGGGAGGGCTGAGAGAGAAAGGGAGACACAGAATCCGAAGTAGGCTCCAGGCTCCGAGCAGTCAGCACAGAGCCCGATGCTGGGCTTGAACTCACGAACCAAGAGATCATGACCTGAGCCGAAGTCAGACGCTTAACCGACTGAGCCACCCAGGCACCCCTTCAACAATCTTTTAGAGCCTCATAATACCGCACATCTTAAGAGCCTGTTTATGAGGCATGACTCTCTAACAGGCACTATACCAGGAACTTCAGAGTCACTGTCTTAGTTAATCCTTATCATCTCCCTACCATGCTACCAGTATACCCACTTGGAGATCAGGAAAACGAGGTTAAGAGAAGGACCTAAGGTCATACAGCTGGAGGGCAGCAGAGCCACGTGTACAGTCCAGGTTGTGACTCCAGAGCCACCCATCACATATACCCCTGCTCAGGGACTCTGCTGGGCGAACACCTCAGGGCTCACAGATGGAAATGGAGGCAAGCCGTGCCTTTCAGGATATCAGAAACTCAACTCCCTTGAATAGTCCAATCTACACTGCCTCACAATGAATCCTATTCCATACTGGATTATTTTATAATGGTGTTCTCATATATTTGTTCGTAATAAAAAAAAAAAATCAACATCAAAAAATGTAAACTTATTATGTAAGGAACTGTTGCTCAATTTTTGAATGTATCTCACACTAAGAAATACATTTCACATCTGGAGTCAACAGTCAGAAATATATACATGCACCTGCCTTACTAAAAATCTAGAGGGGTACTGGGGTGGCGCAGTCATTAAGCATCTGACTCTTCATTCTGGCTCAGGTCATGATCTCACAGTTCACGAGTTTGAGCCCTGAATCAGGCTACGTGCTGACAGCACAGAGCCTGCTTCAGATCCTCTCTTTGCCCCTCCCCTGCTCATGCTCTCGATCTCAAAATAATACATTTTTTAAAAATTTAAAAAACCTTACAAAATATTTATCCTTAGTGCATATAATACACTGTTATTTTCTATTTAATTTATTGCACTTAAACAAATGTCGGGGGACACCTGGATGGCTCAGTTAGTTAAGCATGTGACTCTCGATGTCGCCTCAGGTCATGATTTCACAGTTGGTGGGACTGAACCACCCTCAGTCGCTTCTAATTTCACCTGTTTCTGCACCTGTTTAAGTTTCTACAAGATTTAAAATTACAAACATGGCTCACATAATTCTACTGGACATCACTGAGAAGAATAAAATTTTCCTAACAAAAGCTTTTGAAAAAACATCTACTAGCCCATTTAGTAGCTGAGCTCTCCTTTTCTTCAATAGCAGAAGCTGAGTCAAGTTGAGCAAAGAAATGTTCCCTTACTTCTTTCCCAACTCCTCTCCCTCCAAGACCCACTTGACAGCCAGAGGCTGCTGGAGGGAGAGCCAGGGCCAGGGCCTATTAGGCCACACATCTGTTAGATGGTGGCAGTCCTTTGGCTACAGACACTGACAGAATAGTCACTTTGTGGTCTGAACAACACATTTCTTTCTTTTTTTTTTTTTTAATATTTATTTTTGAGAGAGAAAAAGAGAGACAGACAGACAGTCAAAGAATCTGAAGCAGGCTCCAGGCTCTGAGCTGTTGGCACAGAGCCCAACACGGGGCTTGAACTCATGGACCGCAAGATCATGACCTGAGCTGAAGTTGCACACTTAACTGACTGAGCCACCCAGATGCCCCGTGGAACAACGCATTTCTTTGCTGACTTGTGGTCATATAAAATTTTCTTATGACGTAACATTTTTTTGCTATAGTATGTCTGGATACTGGTTATTTGCCACTGATCAAAACATTTTTAGGGTAATGCTCTTTTACATCAAATAGGGCAAAGTCATCATTTCATCAACTACTGTAATTTTTCTTTTTTTTTTTTTTTCAACGTTTATTTATTTTTGGGACAGAGAGAGACAGAGCATGAACGGGGGAGGGGCAGAGAGAGAGGGAGACACAGAATCAGAAACAGGCTCCAGGCTCTGAGCCATCAGCCCAGAGCCCGACGCGGGGCTCGAACCCACGGACCGCGAGATCGTGACCTGGCTGAAGTCGGACGCTTAACCGACTGTGCCACCCAGGCGCCCCTGTAATTTTTCTAATAGATGCTTATAGACTTTACCCAAAAAGAAGCAATGAAAATCCTGAAATGTATGTTTTTGTGCTATTTACCTCGATGGCAACACTAGTTTCCTTATTTTTAAAAAGCTGGAGCTCTTCTAAACGCTGCTTTTCTTCAGCTGTCAAAACCGTAAATACGTCTTCCGTTGGATCCTTGAAAATAATGAAACTCCCAGTGAGTCACACACAGAACTCAAAGCTGTTACAGCTCTATAGTTCTGGATCTCTCGGAAATGCTAAGTCAATGCTGTTAGAGTTCTATAGTTCTGGATCTCTCGGAAGTGCTATTTTATAGGGAAAGTGGCTTGTCAGAGAGCTGCTCTCACCTCCTCATCCACGGGGACAGACAAGTCATCCAAATGGCTGATGCGTCCGTCTTTTCCTATTTCATGAACAACAAAGTCGGAGTATCTGATGAAAAGAAAACACAAACTTTCAAAGCATTAACATTTTGCTTCTGATTAATTTTAGGAGGAAGTTTATCAACATTAAGCTTCATGGTTATATGAAAATTTTTTTTAATTTTGGGGTTTTTTTTTGAGACAGCATACTTGCGAGCAGGGGAGGGGGCAGATGGGGGTAGGGAGGAGAGGTAGAGGGAAGGGGGGGAGAGAGAGAGAGAGAGAAAGAGAGAGAGAGAATTGCTACGTGGAGCTTGACCCCACAACCCTGGGATCATGACCTGAACTGAAACCAAGGGTCAGATGCTTAAGTGACTAAGCCATCCAGGAGCCCCAAAACAGGAATTTTTTTTTTTTTTTTTTTAATTCTTCATTACTAAGTTCATGTGCAGTTTTTTTTTTCTGGTTTCTTAAAGAATGCTACGCCACAGCTTGCATTCTTCACACAGAATGTAAAGACCCTCTGAGCTTTAGAATATTCTTTCAGAGAAATGCATAAATCAAAGCTTATTACCCTATTGATTATATAAACAGTCCATACTAAAGTGAATCATAAACTATGGCATGGTTAATTGAAACAGAACCCCGTTGGGGCGCCTGGGTGACTCAGTCAAGTCAGTTGAAAAGCAGACTTTGGCTCAGGTCATAATCTCAAGGTTCGTGAGTTCAAGCCTGGTGCTTTGCGCTGACAGTACAGGGTTGCTTTGGATTATCTGCCCACCCTCTCCCTGCCCCTCCCCCCCAATATAAACATTAAAAAAATACATATCACAACTCAGTATATCTACTATGAACCAACCTGAAGCTTGCCTTTATGCTAAATATTCTACACACATTATTTAAAACCTTCTCAAAAACCACAAGGTAGTATTAGGAACCATTTTTTGGGTAAGGATACTATGCAACTAGTCTAGATTCATACCCAGATCCTTCTGGCTCCAAAGACTACCTTCTTTCTACTGTAGATGTGGCACATTCAGGTGGAAGAGTTAAGGATTTAAGATTTTAAGACCAATTCAAGAGAAAACTTAAAACCATTTAAAATAATTTATTTTAAAGAAGTGAACAGCACTCATTTACATATTAGCAAGGCTTGACACAAAAATTATTTTTTATTTACTCATTTGATCTTGAAATGGCTTCATCTGCTCATTTAGACAGCTCTCCTCCATCCTAATTCCTTCATGATCGTCAATAAACCATTCTTGGGGACAGAAAGTTAAATAGAACATATTGGTGATGGAGACGCGGGGGGCAGGAGGGGGGGGTAGAGACACAGAATCCGAAGCAGGTTCTAGGCTCCAAGCTGTCAGCACAGAGCCCGATGCGGGGCTCAAACTCACAAACTGTGAGATCATGACCTGAGCCAAAGTCAGACACTTAACCAAGTGAGCCACCCAGGCGCCCCTTGCTAATTTCTTTCTAAAGAACAAACAGAATGCCAAATTATGGAGAGAGCCCAATGTCCATTGACTGAAGAACATTTACAGAAGATGTGGTAGATATACACAAGAGAATATTACTTAGCCATCAAAAAGAATGAAATCTTGCCACTTCCAATGACAATACACTGTGGATGGAGCTACAATGTATTACACTAAGCAAAATAAATCAACCAGAGAAAGGCAAATACCATATGATTTCACTCCTATGTGGAATTTAAGAAACAAAACAGAAGAACAAAAGAGTGGGGGGAGAGAAGAGAGGGAAACAAACCACAAGAGACTCTTCATGATAGAGAACTGAGGACTGATGGAGGGAGGTGGGTGGAGGGGTGGGCTAGATGGGTAAAGGGTACTAAGGAGGGCACTTGTTACAATGAGCACTCGGTGTTGTATGTAAGTGATGAATCACTGAATTCTACTCCTGAAACCAATACCGTACTGTATGTTAACTATAATTTAAGTAAATAAAAAACAAAAAACCAGAAAAACAAATAGAACAAAAATAACTTTACATGTAAGTGAAACATACCTTTCTTTCAAGATGCCTGAGAATCCCTGATGAGAACTTACAAACTTGGTGATGCCAACGTCAAGTTCAGTGAGGCCGTGCTTCATCATGTCTGCAAAACTCTCAGCTTCCTCCTCCTCCTCAACCTCCTCAGAGAGGCCATCTTCCTCCTCCTCTTCCTCTTCTTCCAACTGCACATCAGAATTCTTTGTACCCTTTCTGGCACTCACAGCCTCAGGTGGCTCAGGCACGTTGACCCCACTGGGTGGAGAGACATGCTCCAGCTCGCTCTGACTTTTGGTCAGACAATGGTCCAAGATCTTCTGTCTTTTTGCCTCCTCAGCTGGGGCCACCCTGTCATTGTCTTCAACAGCAACAGACCCACGTTTCAGCGACACACCAGTCACTTCTGTCATCTCCATTTTTAAGGCTCCAAGAAAACATTTAAGAGAACCTTTTAGGAAGGAAGAGAGCGCAGGAAGTAACAATCACTTCCTTAAAGTGGGTTTCAGCAAACAGAGGCACAGTTAACTTTGTTCCTAGGGTTCTAAAACTCATCTATTAAAATAATTTTTCCTGATGCTGGTGTATATATTTGGTGGCATAGAAAAATGGCACAACACTTCTGCATAGAATTTGAGAGTATGCCTCAAAAAAAACTTTAAAAAATGTATGCCCTTTGACCCAGAAATACTACTTTCAGGGTGTATCTTAAAATAACTGAAGTGCTTACAATTTTAGGTTTAAGGATACTCATTTCAGTACTTTTACATTAACAAAAAACTAAGAAAAATGATGCCTGCGTCTGTAAATTAAACAATACAATGAAACAATATGAACAGAAGCTGGGAAGGATGGTTTCTTCCAGCACAGAATATGGGTGGCTGGGCACAGCAGGGAGACGTGCTGGTTTTAGTGAATACCGTAGTTGATCACTTGAACTTTGTTTCATGTAGATTATTCTTTAAAAAAAAAAAAAAAAAACCTGATTAAATAAAAATAGTGTATAAATACACTTGACAGGAACGCATACTAGTATCATATTAAAAAAAAAAGCAAGGGGGATGTGAAGTTGTTTAATGGGTTATAAAGTTTCAGTTTTGCAAGATTAGAAAGAGTTCTGCATATTGGTTTCACTACAGTATGAATGTACTTAACGCTACTGAACTGTATGCTTAAAAGTGGAGATGGTGCTACGTGTTATGTGCATTTTGCCACAATTTAAACAATACAGACTATCATGTAAGCAATCCACACACAATGTAATGAGGGAAAGTCTAAGAAGCCATACACACCTCCCAGGACTGGGCGGCTTGCCAGAGGGGTAACATGTGGCAGTCAAAATAAATACATTTATCTAATTTGACCTTACTTGGTGCTCTTGGTAAATTAAGGATAAAAGTTTTCCTACATTAATTATATACGGAGGTGCTATAATTAAAACGCTAATGAACTTACTAAGCATACTCATAAAAGAACATAAATGAGCAGAAAACTAACATTCTAAGGTTCTCCAAAGCCTAGTTAACAAGAAACCCAACTACAGAAGCATCTACAACAGAATAATAACAACGAGCTAAAGTTTAAGAATCCACATTTGAGGGGCGCCTGGGTGGCGCAGTCGGTTGAGCATCCAACTTCAGCCAGGTCACGATCTCGCGGTCCGGGAGTTCGAGCCCCGCGTCAGGCTCTGGGCTGATGGCTCAGAGCCTGGAGCCTGTTTCCGATTCTGTGTCTCCCTCTCTCTCTGCCCCTCCCCCGTTCATGCTCTGTCTCTCTCTGTCCCAAAAATAAATAAACGTTGAAAAAAAAAAAAAAAGAATCCATATTTGAAGGGTGCCTGGCTGGCTCAGTCAGTGGAGCACATGACTCTCTTGATCTTGGGGTCATCAGTTTCAGGCCCATCTAGAGATAACTTAAAAAAAAAAATCCACATTTGATCTTGGCTCACTGTCAACAATCTAGAATGGAAAGAAAATGTAAAGAAGAATGCAAATACATGCACAAAATGAAAGAAAAAGGGATGATGACTACAAAAAAAATGGGAGAAAAGGTACAGAAAGATGCCAGTAAAACCAATTTCCTTTGAAAGACAAAAAAATTAAATAAAGAAAATGTTAGAAACCAAGAATCTGGAACAGAAGTAGACCACAACTATACAAAAATTACCTCTAATTCAATTAGGAAAGCACTTATTCTCTATTTGTTCTAAGCAAGGTCAAGTAAGAAAAAGAATGGTTTATGAAATGCTGGTGCTATTCATGCTCACTTTCTATCAACAAGGCTGCCCTCACAGAGCCTGCGCGCCAATGTGGGAGACACAAAGGGCACAGGTCACTCGGGGACTACAGGAACAAAGACCTCAGAGGGCACTGCCGGTGAGGGTGTCAGAGAAGACACCTTTCCTTATGGCAGACCAGAAACGAACACCTGAGCCCGTCTGTGAGGAGCAGGTGAGGTCGCAGAACGCGGGGAGGAGGCTGTTTGGGGGGGATGGTTGGGCATGTGCAGAGGCGTGGGAGCCCAAGTAGGGTAAAACACACAACGGGCGAGTCTGGAGGTAAAGCTAGCGAGTGAGCAGATGCTAGACCAGCAGAATGGAGGGGATTCCATCCTGAAAACCAAACCACCACTAGACTCGTGAGTTAGAAAGGTGTCGCAGTGCCTCTTTGAAGAGAAACAGGGGTTAGATAGAAGATTCGGTGAGAGGGTACAGCTGAGGGTCACTTGGCTGTCTCAGTTGGAAGAGTGCGTGACTCTTGATCTCGGGGTTGTGAATTTGAACCCCACATTGGGTGTAGAGATCACTAAAAAAAAGAAAACTTAAAAAAGAGGGTATGACCAAAATTGAGTCAAGAAATTAGTATAACATGATCTAAGACTGAGACAAGGGTGACAGAAACAAAGTTTGGATTCAGGGACATTTAGGAGGTGGTGGGAACAGGACTGGATGACAAATGTGGGCAAAAAGAGGAAATACCCTAGGATGACTCAGGTGTTCTGCCTTAGGGATCTCAGAGGACAGGGGAGCTCTTCCTAACACGGAACCCCAGAAGAGAAGCAGGGAGTAGGAAGACAAGCCCACTTATGGTCCTGAGGTGTCACAGGTACCTGGGAACATCCGGAAGCCAGTCACTACATTGTGTTACACATACTCTCAACCCCAAACGTGCAATGGCGTCCCAGCTGGCATGCCAGGGTCCACTAGGAGATCCTGATACCTTTCCACGCCTGAACTCTCAGCAGGGAGGAAAGCACAGCCAATGACAACCACATCAGTATCGTGGCTCAGGGACTTTGCTGTCAGCACATGTCTACCTCCTTCCCAGAATGCAGAGAATTCATCAAGCTCCTTTTTAACAACTGATGGTCATAAGCCACATCAATTACTTCCTCTGCAGAAATGTCTGCTCCATCCTGCTTTGACACTGCCCATCATCCAGCAACCTGTACCATTATCTTCCACACACCTGCAACAACTCAGGCCCAGTCCCAATGAGTTCCTGCTTCCAGTCTGACTGCTCATGAGCTCTCTCCAATGGGAAGTCCTCCACACCTGTCTAAGATCACCCCTGGCCTCATCAGTCCTTCAAGGCTCATCTGAAGGCCATGAGTCCTGACTGCTGTGCCTTCCTCTCTACTAATTCAGTCTTCCCATTTTACCTCCCTTCATCTGCACTACCATGTGGGCACCTGGGTACCATACTTTTCTCCTGCCATTTTCTAGCTGTCCATCGAAGTAAATTAATTTCTCCAAGCCCCTGTTCTTCATCTGTAGAATGGGAATGACATGCGTATCACAAGACTGCCGCGAAGATTAAATGAAATGATAAACACTATATCCTGGTTAGATATAGTAGGAACAAAATAAGCTAGTCCCCTTTCCCCCCTCAAGAAGTCTGCAGATTTTTTGAGGACATTATTTCTTTTATACATGCCATAGAATTCAGAGTGGTATAACAGCCTTCTATAGACATTTTGTAGATTTCTTGGAACAGGTGCTGAAACTGTTCCCCACCTGTAGAGATCAAAGTCACACTAAGTAGCAAATGCCTAATGAAATAGTGGACCTGGACAAGCACCACGAATGGCCCACTAACATACATGACAGGCAGGCACTGCACGTCCCTGAAAGCACATGCTGTGAAGTATTCTGACTGAAACTCTATGTCTAATTGGTAGTTTCGACAGCACACAGAGTCAGAAGATGTTAACCACCACCATGGGGAAGCAATCAGCAACATTCTGAATGTGGGAAACTCTACCAGGACAAAGACAGTTCCCTCAACTAATAGAAAGCAAGGGGAAAAAGAGGGAGGGGAACTTACATATAAACCTACAAAGAAATGCAACGAGTGGATCCTTCTTCAAACAAGTCAACTATTTAAAAAAAGCATTTAGAAAAGTATTTGATGGCTGTAGCAACTTCTTACTCCACATGTCTCCGGAGGCAAGGGAAACAAAAGCAAAAATGAACTACTGGGACCTCATCAAAATAAAAAGCTTTTGCACAGTGAAGGAAATAATCAGTAAAACTAAAAGGCAACCGACAGAATGGGAGAAGATATTTGCAAATGACATATCACAAAAAGGGTTAGCATCCAAAATCTATAAAGAACTTAACAAACTCAATACCTAAAAAAACAAGTAATCCAGTGAAGAAATGGGCAAAAGACATGAATAGACACTTCTCCAAAGAAGACATCCAGATGGCCAACTGACACATGAAAAAATGCTCAACATCACTCATCATCAGGGAAATACAAATCAAAACCACAATGAGAGGGGTGCCTGGGTGACTCAGTGGGTTAAGCGTCTGACTTCAGCTCAGGTCATGATCTCATGGTTTGTGAGTTCAAGCCCTGCTTTGGGCTCTGTGCTGTCAGTTCAGAGCCTGGAGCTTGCTTTGGATTCTGTGTCTCCCTCTCTCTCTGCTCCTCCCCCGCTCACACTCTGTTTCTCAAAAAATGAATAAACGTTAAAAAAAATTAAAAATAAATTTAAAAAACCACAATGAGATACCACTTCACACCTGTCAGAATGGCTAATATTAACAACTCAGGCAATAACAGATGTTTGTGAGGATGCACAGAAAGAGGATCTCTTGTGTACTGTTGGTGGGAATGCAAACTGGTGCAGCCACTCTAGAAAACAGTGTGGAGGTTCCTCAAAAAATTGAAAATGGAACTACCCTACGACCCAGCAATTGCACTACTAGGTATTTATCCAAGGGATACAGGTGTGCTGTTTCTAAGGGGCACATGCACCCCGATGCTTATAGCAGCACTATTGACAATAGCCCAAGTATGGAAAGAGCCCAAATATCCCTCGATGGATGAATGGACAAAGAAGATGTGGTATATATATACAATGGAGTATTACTCAGCAATCAAAAAGAATGAAATCTTGCCATTTGCAACTACGTGGATGGAACTAGAGGGTATTA